CACCCATGCTCAAGGTATAATAATTGAACAAATATTATGATGTCATAGTAAAAATCATTGAACACCATTTAAAGTTAAAAAAGTTATGAGGATAAAACATTCTTGTAATCAGCAAATTCATAAACACACGTGTAGTTGTGTTGATCATGCTGTTTAAAGCCTATAGTCACTCATGCATATCGTAGTGCTTAAACCTATAGTCACTCATGCATATCCATGCATGCTTAAACCTGTAGTCACTGCACCATCATATCGTAGTGTTTAAAAGTCTATAGTCACTCATCATGCATATCGTAGTGCTTAAACCTATAGTCACTCATGCATATCGTAGTGCTTAAAACCTATAGTCACTCATGCATATCGTAGTGCTTAAAGCCTATAGTCCCTCATGCATATCGAGTGCTTAAAGCCTATAGTCCCTCATGCAGATCTTAGTGCTTAAAGCCTATAGTCACTCATGCATATCGTAGTGCTTAAAGCCTATATAGGCACCCACGCTTATCACAGTGCTTAAAGAATATATTCACTCAAGCTGATCAAAGTATATACCCCAGATAAAACGTTGTCTCGTAACGAAACAACTCGCTGAAATAGAATTTCCCCTCGCATTGTAATTGACTTATTGAATTCCATTTTCATAGATGAAAACAATCCAACTTACAGACATTCATCCTAACTTCTCGAACACGTTCATTCGCCAGAAAAAAATGTTGGCTTGGAAAATATTGAATTTCCAATACAGATATTACACACCAATATCACATTCAATATTTTCCAAGCCAACACTTTTTCTTGCCTAATCTTACAGCCTTGTCAGTCCTCAACTTGAGGCGAAGGAGGAAGCACGTCATAAATCTCCAAGTGTTGGTGCGTGTTGAGAAGGCCAAGGTGTGCTGGTTGCCGGATTAACGATCAAACACACAACACACGCCACAATGACAGGGAATGTACAAGTGCTACCCACACTGTGTAAACACAGGTACCTACCGTACTGCCCGGATACCAGCATATTTCGAGAGTCCTTTGGCATCCATAATCCTTAAACTGGTCTACGGACTAAATATGTAGTTTAATTTGATTGTCTTGGGTATTTTATTCAGTTTTATATAGATTAAGTTTATGTATGGAGCAGTTTTAAATGGAACGTGACTACATGGGTCAGTTTGAAGGTTCTTCAATAAGCAGTATGAAAGATCCTTCATATGTGGTAAAAATAAAGCTGAACAAGCAGATTTTTCGAACTTTTGGAGAAAAGTACCTCACCCTGTTGTTTTCTATGCATTATGGAAAGTTTGGTATCACTTCGGTTTACCTTCTTCGCGGGATATCAGCTTTGGTAAAAGATGTTTCATACGTTCATATTTACATAAACTCTCTAATATTAATTGATTCAAGTCTGGTTTTATTTCTTTATATGGTGTTGAAAGAACAATCGTATTGCCACCCGTTCGCACGATGTAAAATAGTCACATTTTCTCAAATCGAATTGATCAAGATGGCTTATAAGGACCCTCGCCCTTACCGGGTAAACGAGGCAACTGGGATCCTTGGTATAATTACCATTTATACATGGACATTTTTAATGACATAGTCTGTATCAATTCCGTGACGACGGTTTTTTCAGTTGAACGTACCTATCTTGTACTACACAACACTAATAATCGAATGGTTAAAGCGTTCGCCGAAGACCAGGGTTCGATTCACAACATGGGTACAATGTATGAAGCCCATTTCTGGTGTCCCCGCCGTGATATTGCTGGAATATTGCTAAAACTAAACTCACTCACTCACTAATAATCTATTATCTTCTAAATACTTAACAGCTATGCAGCTATGCTGATGTACAAAAGAAAATAAGCACTTTGTGTTTGGTGATTATTTTCCCTAAAACAAAGCAAATATTTTGTGAAGTGTTTTGATTGTGATTACAAGTCACAGGCACTGTGTACATGTTGCCAAAAACAGAGCATATATCCGTTAAAGTGCTATGAGTGGAATATGTGAAAAATCTTGATTTCGTTGAATAACAAGTACGTGGTATGCTCCAACAGTATGAAACACAGCTGAGATTGTTAGTGGTATACGTGTTAAAGGCACGCATCAAAACGACAAGATCATCAGCTATGGCGAGAGAACGACTCATTTAAATGTCGCAGAAGGGCCTTCTAGTCTGTCATACAGACCCTGAGGCAAATATATCCAAGAAAGCCCACGCAAGTCTAGAAAATGTGGCAAGTCTAGATTTCCTCAGCTTTCTCAGGGCTCCGTTTCATTATATTATACTTTTTTTTCACTATGAACTTTTTTCAGTAAAATATGTTCATTTCAGAGACTAGTTGTTAGTCTAAAGGGCATTCGAACAGTCATGTTTGCCAGATCGGGTGTACAAGGCCGACCATCATCAAACTAAGGAGACATATCGACCAGACTGGTCAGACATCTGACACGACCTGCAGGACAGAGAGCGACCACCTCGCAAGATGACAACACCTGTGCATTTCCATCTGCTCAAAAGGATGCTCACAGTGACGTCATCTGCATCAACAGCCTAATGTCAGCTTCAGCAGGACCATTTCGGGGCATGTTATGAACCCGTGAACATCGACTGAATCGTCTACGTTGGGGTACAGCTTCAGCTTGACCTGAGTGATTTAGTTTGACGCCGCATCAGCAATATTCCAGCTATATGGCGGCGGTCTGGAAATAATCGAGTCTGGACCAGACAATCCAGTGATCAACAGCATCAGCATCGATCTGCGCAATTGGGAACCGATGACGTTCAACCAAGTCAGAGAGCCTGACCACCCGATCCCGTTAGTCGCCTCTTACGACAAGCTGGGTTACTGAAGGCCAAGTTTCTAATTCGGACCTTCACGGGTTGACCTGATCAAGTGAATACTTATGTATTGCGTGACCGTGTCACAACTGGTCGGATCTATTATTGTGAAGGGGTGTACCTTTGTCAGTTGATTGTCAACATGTCCGAACAGCCGAGACCAGGTCGCCGTTTGACAACTCAGTGTCGAGAAATCGTCAGCAATGTCCTAACTACTGGACAGAAATATTGCAGTTGAACATGAAATAGTGATAACTGAAAAGATTGAATTTGATTGTGAAAGTAACTGACGTCTGTACTTTGTAAAGTTAGTAAACCAAACTAGATAGCATATGACTGTATAAACAATTCAATTAAAACATGAAATGATTGTATTTTCAGAAGAGTTGTTTTCCGGGACAGGTTCTGTAACGAATCCATGTATGCATGTTTTGCACGAACGCAACATTACTAACATTCTCTGCTCCCCTATTTAATGACGTTAACTCGTCCTGTCGTTTGTGCCATTTGACCTCCCGGGTCATGCATATGTAGAGTAGCCCAGGTCAAGCTGAACAAGCTGTAGGAACGTGAGACGCTGACAACGTTGCATCTGGGTATGATACGATGTGGTTTTTGGTAACACGTACATGATGTTGTACTTGTACGTCACAATCAAAACACTTTTCAAAATATTGAAGACGGCGTAGTTGTGGGTTGTTGGTTTTTTTAAAAATAACGCCAAAGCTCCATATATGTGTACTTTTTGTGCTTCAGTTTAAGTGGCTAATCAACATTTAAATAGCTCGTTCATTAACCAACATTTCAATAGGTAGGTTCTAATCGATATTTCAGCAGCTAGTTGATCAATATTTCAGTGATTAGTTCACTAATCAATATCCCAATGCCTAAGGTGGCTAATCAGTACATCAATAGCCAACTGGCTAATGGTTATTTTAATAGTTAGTTAGCTACTCGATATTTCAATATATAATTCCCTAATTTATCTTTCAAAAACTAGCCGTATAATGAACATTTGAATAGCCATCTCCCTTATCACTGTTTCAATAGCTAGTTGACAAATCTCACATCTCTATAATCCGATGCTTTGTATATTTGATTGATTTATTTGAAACATACAATGCATTTTTCAGCAATTTCTGTGCTGTCTTAGACATTTGCCAAATGCCATATGTAGGTTGCCAGGACGCATGGAAGGTCGGGATATTTGAAAAGATCATAAGACGTATACGTAATCAGTCCAGATGTATTTTCCTGATGCATGGCCGGACTAACGCAGAGTTACTGTATTCAAACATTTGACCTGGATCAATTTATGTCGGAAAACCATGCAACCAAAGGTTGTGGGCACTTCTAAAACTTCAAATTTATCATTTTGTTTGTTTGATTGTAATTAAACTCCTTACTCAGCAATATTCCAGCTATATGGCGGCTGTCTATAAATAAGTGTGTCAATCCAATGATCAACATCATGAACATCGACCTACACAGTTGGGATATGATGACGTGTTGTCAACCAAGTCAGCGAGTCTGACCACCCGATCCAGTCAGACTTCACTAGGACTGTCCGGTTGATATTATTGGATAAGATGGTTTAGAGAAGGTGTGTAAACTGCTAATGTCTTGAAAGAAATTGTCACAAACAGAAAATACCCAACCGTTTCCTCTCCCCATGTTATAAGTGGCCGATCCCTTACTCCATCTAACCGTATCAGCCTTGACGGTGTTGTTTGCCACAGTCAGTAGATTGCAGCACGACAGCAGCCATTGTGTACAGCTCGGAAGATGAATGAAGTCGGATATCGGTGGCACGACTTGATTAACTCGACTCAACCTAGTAACCAATTGCATTTTAATGACAATGCCAGAATCACTACAGGCCTTATTTAATCTCCCACTGTAGTGCTCCATTATCTAACGTAACATTTCATTTTTGTATGCGCGTGGTGCGGGAACATATTACCTCTTGACATCTTTGTTCTGTGGTCATGTTTGGGAAAGAATGTGACACATAGTTATACGAAGAGAATTGCCAATATTGCCAGTAATTCATCTTGGTCCAGGACAATGGGAAAGGCAATAAGAACACGAACGCACCTGCTATCAATCATTAACAATAATTGAGCTACGACCAGATAGTCAGATGTTAATTTCTGTTACAGATATGGCGACGGACAACTGTTGGACGCTGTGGCAACGTCTCCCTCCGCGTTACCAGCTCACGACGCAGGAGATGGCAGACGAAGAAGAAATAACGGGGGTCATGGGATCGAGGGTTGGTAGTCCTACGCCACGTTCGGCTTCCTCTCGGCAGTCGCCCCGATATCCTTCCGCCAATCCCCATTTTCCTGGAACTACTTTGGCAGGAATTCCTCCACACACAACTGATGACCGTTTGAGAGCGTTTCTGGATCGCAGAAAGCTAGCATTCCCGTTAAGGAACTCTAGATACTTGCACAATATGAAGACTCTCCAACGTGTGAACTCAGCTCGGCAGAAGATTACGAGTGACCCTTCCATTGTAACCTATGTGCCTTCCATGAGAGCTAAAACGCTGCCTGCTTTTCCCGTCACCAAACTATCCAACCTTCAGAGGGCAACCGTGGAGACAAGAGAATATTCTCTCAGTTCCAGGAACAACTTCTACCAAATAAAACCTGACACTGGCTCACACAAGGTTGTCGCTGTACATAACATCTTCCCGTTTGACGATTCCAAATCGCTGGCGAGACAATCCAAGGACCAAAGCAAGAAGTACGTGGTGAACGAAATGAATGATGCTACCATGTTCATTGACAATGACAAAATTATTTATTTCAGAAAAACTAAACCGAACATGACTCAGTCGGTAATGGAGAGCATAGGCACATATTCCGCGAAGAAGAACGATGGGAGTTACATTGCCCACCTCAGAAAGGCTTATCTGAAGAACCCCAGGGATCATCCCAAACCAAAAGAGGCTGAACCAGACATACACACTATTCAAAGAGAGAGAACTGACTATGACAAGAGGGTGGGGCATATATTGGACTACTACTCTGGTAACGAATGTGAGAAAGGAAGACAGTTTGATGTAAACCGGAAGACTCAAGTTCCGGTTCAGACAGCAAGGACCGGAAGTCCTCGCCAGCGCATCAGATCCTCAAGTCCCCGCAGTGCACGCTTAAGGTCGCTGTTGTCAACCCCAGTCGCCCAGACTCCACCGAGTACAAGAAGCTGTGTTGGTCATATGGATCCGTTTGAGGAGTGGAGCCTGTATTTTAAACTTAACCAACGCTCCGTTCTCCATGAGAAGCAGTTTTATCTGAGAACTCCTGGAATACGGGTACTTATTCCGGGTGTTCAGAATATCACCCCAAGCGACGTGTCAAGCTGCAAATGCCGCCTCTGTCGCGTTGAGATGGAACTGTCTGTCATTGCGCAAATGAACGAGATGGGCATTGGGATACCTAGTAACATGACGTCAGATCCGGTAAGCCCACCCATACCACCGGAAGTGGAATGTCCCGGAAGACCAAATTCCGCAGCAAATGAAATCGAGAAACCCAAAGAGCTTCCCGATTCTGAGCTTATACCCAACGATCTGCCTCGTGCCAAACAAAATGGCGAACTCTTGACCATCAAACTTCCGGAAATTTCCGAAGAGACGTCTGATATAAGTTCCATTGCAACCAATCGAGACACGAATCGAAATGGGACAACCGTGTCAGTTGATTGCGATACACGGAAAGAAAGTGTTTCACTGGATGTGGTGAGTGTTCCTGAAGCAGTTTCGACATCTGACAAAGCATGTTGTACTGAGGAACAGAACGTCGTTACTGGGGAAGAACCAAAGGACCAAGAAGCCCCAACTGTCTCGGAACAGGCTGATACAGTGAAAGCTGGAAACTGTCGATGAGCCATCAGATTTTCTGTCGCTGTTGATGGTAACAGGCACACAAAGAATCCTCCCAGATTCAATTATTTGTTATACACATGTTGGTTTAGAACATCCCATATGTGTGCTCATTAGTTTCAGTGTGTCACTGCAGGAGCTGAAGGATGCCAAGTGTGTAGATCGATGCTCATACTGTTGATCACTGGATTGTCTGGTGAAGACTCGACTATTCACAGACCGCCACCATATAGCTGGAATATCGCTGAGTGCGGCGTTAAACAACAAACCAACGAACCAATCAGGAGCTGAATGGGTGAGCATAAAACAATTCAAAAATAAGAGGGGCGCAGGAACGGTGATTTCAGTGAAAAATCACTCTGTGTGTGAATTAATTCTGTATTGTGCTCGATATCCGACTCACTTACCCGAACAGGGTCAGTCGTGACGTATCGGTTAAGAGACGTCACGTCAAATATTATACGGTGCTGATGTGTAATGTTTATAAACCAACGCAAGGATACGGACTTTACAAAACTGAGGCGAATCTGGTTTTCTGATGAATCACGTTTTCTTTTGCAACGTCACGACGGAAGACAGCGTCTGTATAGGAGACGTCATAAACGTTTTGCGCCCATCTGCGTCCGACAGGTGGACAGATTTGGCGGAGAAAGCGTCATGGTTTGGGGAACCATCTCATACAACCAGAAATCAGACTTGGTGATCGTTCCAGGGAACCTGACAGCCCAACGTTACATCAACCACGTGTTAGAGCTTCACCTTCTCCCGATTATTGACCAACAGACACAGATTTTTCAACGGGACAACAATGAACTTTCTGCAGAATTCCAACGTCAATGTCTTGCCATGACCCTCTAAATCACCAGACCTCAACCCTATTGAACACCTGTGGGATACTCTGGATCGACGCGTCCGTCAACGTCAGCCGCCGCCACAGACGCTGCAACAGCTCGCCGTTGCACTGCAGGAGGAGTGGAGAGCCATTCCCCAGGAAAGAATCCGGCGTCTTATCCGTTCTTGTCCAAGGAGATGCCGTGCAGTGATTGCAGCGCGTGGTGCTCATACGAGATACTGAGAAAGACGCCCCCCTGGTGACAAACTGGTGTCTGTGAGATGACTTTTGAAATGACAATTTTAAACATGCCCATCTGGGTTATTATTCTGCCAAATTTCAGACTTCTGTCTTAAATAATAAAAATGCCGTGTCGTCCTAAAACTTCAGATCAAAATCTCTAAAATACAGGGGTTGCGTTTCTTTTTTGACAGAGTTTACTTTCTACCAATTTGTGGTGAAACAGTTTCGGGTAAATTCAATCATTTGAAACAAACTAGTTGTCACAAAAACGGTATTTGATTGGGAAGTATTGTTTGCGAATTTGTGTGGCACTCATTGGTGTGGCACTCTTTGGTGTTGTCAAGGTAACAAAGGAAACCAAGTGAAAATCAGCTTTGGCTTTGGGTGTATTGATTCAATTGTCGTTCGGATTTTCCATGAATGTGTTGTCTGAATTACTCAAATACGATCATTATTTCATCGCCTCCAGTACAAATGGTCTTAAATGAACCGGAAGATTTGGCATCTTAAAAGCATGAAATAATTTCGTAATTCACCTAATACATTAAGACACACTGTCAGAGAAGTTCAACAAAATGTGGATCTACAAACTGGATATAATTTCGTTTACAAATTACAACCAACATATTCGTCATTGCATTTGGTATGGTGAGTTCAACTAGAACGTCACAGCATCTCGGCGACCTGGATTTTCACTTTGAAGAGTGTGGAATGAGGAGATGTGTCTCCTTATAAACATGTAGGTGGGAAACCCTTCGCAACAGCCTGTTGTAGCATAAACTGAATCTGAAAGCTATCATGTAGAAATGTCCATACATTCGATACACACGGTCTAAATGCCCCTCTTTACCCGAACATATCACACCGTTATCCGACTGTTTTTTATTAGCCTACAGCCGTTTAATGCGGATGGGTCCATGGATTTTACACCCTGTTCATCAGGTTGGGGATGTAGCTCAGTGGTAGAGCGTTCGCTTTGCATGTGAAAGGCCCCGGGTTCGATCCCCGGCATCTCCATGTTCCTACTTTTTCGCTGTTTTATATTTATCTTCTTCTTACAATCCCAGCGTTCATCCTTTTCAGCAACAGCAAACCAAACCGGGTTCTTTCATAATCCACAATAAATACATGGAAATGTACATCCATCCTGCATCCAAAACAATGACACTACTTATCCAGTTGAATTTATAAGGAGTTGGCAATAGGCTACGTCTCGAAGATAGGATTTCGACCTTCACATGCATACAACAGATGAATCTAACAACTCCTGTAATCAGTACTGTAGGAGTAGGGGATGTAGCTCAGTGGTAGAGCGTTCGCTTCGCATGTGAAAGGCCCCGGGTTCGATCCCCGGCATCTCCATGTTCCTACATTTTGGCGAGGGATGTCAAAATGGATGACGTTGCAAACTGGCTGTGCCCCACCCGGATATGAAAGAAGCCACATTCATTGAAATCACCAGACATTGCAAGATGCCAAGCTGAACAGTCGGGGAGATTGGCCTCCACAAAGTCCCTTCTTTCTTCAAGTACTCCACACCAATACACACTCTCTTTACAGCAAATACAGCACGTTTTCACGGGTTTATATGTGTCAAGGCTCGATTGTTAAACTCGAGGGTGTGTGGGAGACTGATGTCAAATTGTAAAAAACAAGTATGTACAAGTGCTCAAGAGAACGATACATGGATTTTACACCCTGTTCATCAGGTTGGGGATGTAGCTCAGTGGTAGAGCGTTCGCTTTGCATGTGAAAGGCCCCGGGTTCGATCCCCGGCATCTCCATGTTCCTACTTTTTCGCTGTTTTATATTTATCTTCTTCTTACAATCCCAGCGTTCATCCTTTTCAGCAACAGCAAACCAAACCGGGTTCTTTCATAATCCACAATAAATACATGGAAATGTACATCCATCCTGCATCCAAAACAATGACACTACTTATCCAGTTGAATTTATAAGGAGTTGGCAATAGGCTACGTCTCGAAGATAGGATTTCGACCTTCACATGCATACAACAGATGAATCTAACAACTCCTGTAATCAGTACTGTAGGAGTAGGGGATGTAGCTCAGTGGTAGAGCGTTCGCTTCGCATGTGAAAGGCCCCGGGTTCGATCCCCGGCATCTCCATGTTCCTACATTTTGGCGAGGGATGTCAAAATGGATGACGTTGCAAACTGGCTGTGCCCCACCCGGATATGAAAGAAGCCACATTCATTGAAATCACCAGACATTGCAAGATGCCAAGCTGAACAGTCGGGGAGATTGGCCTCCACAAAGTCCCTTCTTTCTTCAAGTACTCCACACCAATACACACTCTCTTTACAGCAAATACAGCACGTTTTCACGGGTTTATATGTGTCAAGGCTCGATTGTTAAACTCGAGGGTGTGTGGAGACTGATGTCAAATTGTAAAAACAAGTATGTACAAGTGCTCAAGAGAACGATACATGGATTTTACACCCTGTTCATCAGGTTGGGGATGTAGCTCAGTGGTAGAGCGTTCGCTTTGCATGTGAAAGGCCCCGGGTTCGATCCCCGGCATCTCCATGTTCCTACTTTTTCGCTGTTTTATATTTATCTTCTTCTTACAATCCCAGCGTTCATCCTTTTCAGCAACAGCAAACCAAACCGGGTTCTTTCATAATCCACAATAAATACATGGAAATGTACATCCATCCTGCATCCAAAACAATGACACTACTTATCCAGTTGAATTTATAAGGAGTTGGCAATAGGCTACGTCTCGAAGAAGATAGGATTTCGACCTTCACATGCATACAACAGATGAATCTAACAACTCCTGTAATCAGTACTGTAGGAGTAGGGGATGTAGCTCAGTGGTAGAGCGTTCGCTTCGCATGTGAAAGGCCCGGGTTCGATCCCCGGCATCTCCACATTTTTGGCGAGGGATGTCAAAATGGATGACGTTGCAAACTGGCTGTGCCCCACCCGGATATGAAAGAAGCCACATTCATTGAAATCACCAGACATTGCAAGATGCCAAGCTGAACAGTCGGGGAGATTGGCCTCCACAAAGTCCCTTCTTTCTTCAAGTACTCCACACCAATACACACTCTCTTTACAGCAAATACAGCACGTTTTCACGGGTTTATATGTGTCAAGGCTCGATTGTTAAACTCGAGGGTGTGTGGGAGACTGATGTCAAATTGTAAAAACAAGTATGTACAAGTGCTCAAGAGAACGATACATGGATTTTACACCCTGTTCATCAGGTTGGGGATGTAGCTCAGTGGTAGAGCGTTCGCTTTGCATGTGAAAGGCCCCGGGTTCGATCCCCGGCATCTCCATGTTCCTACTTTTTCGCTGTTTTATATTTATCTTCTTCTTACAATCCCAGCGTTCATCCTTTTCAGCAACAGCAAACCAAACCGGGTTCTTTCATAATCCACAATAAATACATGGAAATGTACATCCATCCTGCATCCAAAACAATGACACTACTTATCCAGTTGAATTTATAAGGAGTTGGCAATAGGCTACGTCTCGAAGATAGGATTTCGACCTTCACATGCATACAACAGATGAATCTAACAACTCCTGTAATCAGTACTGTAGGAGTAGGGGATGTAGCTCAGTGGTAGAGCGTTCGCTTCGCATGTGAAAGGCCCCGGTTCGATCCCCGGCATCTCCACATTTTTGGCGAGGGATGTCAAAATGGATGACGTTGCAAACTGGCTGTGCCCCACCCGGATATGAAAGAAGCCACATTCATTGAAATCACCAGACATTGCAAGATGCCAAGCTGAACAGTCGGGGAGATTGGCCTCCACAAAGTCCCTTCTTTCTTCAAGTACTCCACACCAATACACACTCTCTTTACAGCAAATACAGCACGTTTTCACGGGTTTATATGTGTCAAGGCTCGATTGTTAAACTCGAGGGTGTGTGGGAGACTGATGTCAAATTGTAAAAACAAGTATGTACAAGTGCTCAAGAGAACGATACATGGATTTTACACCCTGTTCATCAGGTTGGGGATGTAGCTCAGTGGTAGAGCGTTCGCTTTGCATGTGAAAGGCCCCGGGTT